CCATGACGCAACTACCGTCCTCGGCGATCCACCCGTACGAGGCAGAGGCCTTGAAGTACCAGCGGGCACTGGCATACGATTGTTTAGCCGTGTCCGAGTCCGACTTGGTAAACCAGTGCCACCCGAATCCGGAAAAGCGCCCCGAGCCAAACATCGATGATATCACGACACTGCTTTCTGGATATGAGTTGGCGACGCTGCGGGTACCTTTCGTGAGCTGCAACGATACGTTTCACAGGGACAAGCGGCAGTCGATGGTGAAAGCAGCGCCGGGAGAGGCTAGACTGGTCCCAGTTGAGCGGAGGCGGTGGCAAGATAGTTTGCACTGACGAGAATGGTCAAGACGTGACTTGTCATTACTTCGGCGCTCCGTTCAAGTATGATTTGCCTACTGTCTGGGATGCGGTCAACTACTATCTGAAGCCCTCGCGATGCCTGTTTACAGACAACAACGCGTATGAACAGTCTACGCTCGAATACAGGGGGGGACGCGCAAGGGGAATTGCAAAGCGGTTAGGAGGTGACTTGTACGGATTCGACGATGGGAAACTTCTGAAAGCGGGGTATCTGGCAGATGGTATGAACAGGGGAGCAGAAGTCAGACGGGGTATGAGCCAGATTGGGGCACAGACTATCCCCACTAGCTATTGTGACAGTGACGGTCCGACATGTCGGACAAACCTGTCGGAACATTGTCAATGCGATATGATGGAAATGAGAGTCGAGGCCACCACTCCATCTGGCACGACCATTCGCTGGGGGAAGGTTAAAGACTACTTCACCACCCAGACTGAATTGGCAAAGTACTATACGTTGTTCCAAAGAAAGGAATACGAATTAACAAACTGCAACATCGCGTGCTATAGGCGTAGTGATCCCGAAGATCACCTTCGGAGTGCCAGCAGCTACTGGGAAGATAACTTCAATCAAATGCTTTGACGTGTCCTTTTTTGTGTCTTAACCCCTGTGGTATAAGGCGTTCTGCACCACCCTGTCCTCGAACCGGGGTTGTGCCGCTTTCAAGTTGTGCGCATAGGGTTAAGATAATCCACTCACAGCATTAGAACAGCAGCACCACTATAACATAGCGGGCGCCCAACATCAAAATAGATTTTACAGAAAAGAGTACACCTTAGAAGACAGGGGCCTGTACGATGAGACGCGACAACACCGGGAATCGAACCCGCGTTCTAAAGCTTTTGCCCGAAGTCGCTGGCGAAATACCTAATAGTCTCTTCACGGTGTTCTTTGGGAACAGAGTCTCTCCAGCACGTCACGTGGCAGTTTGTCAATTTGTATTCTTTCCTTTGGAATAACGTATAGTACTTAACCAAATCAGTCTGGTTGGTGAAGTAGTCCCTAACCGTCCCCCAGCGAATGTTCGTGCCGGATGGAGTGGTGGCCTCAGCACTCAGCTCTATGATCTGGCATTGACAATGTTCCGATACGTTTGTCCGACATGTCGGACCGTCGCTGTCACAATAGGTAACGGGAATGTCTTGTTGAATTATCTTGTTGAATAAGACAATAGGCCCCTTGTTCAAATGTGTTACTAAGTACCCCACTTCATGAGCGCGAGCATCGTCGAATCCGTATAAGTCACCTCCAACCCACTTTGCAACCCCCCTTGCGCGCCCCCCCCTGTATTCGAGACGTATACCTGTGTCTCCGTTGTCTGTAAACAGGCACTGGTAGGGCTTCAGGTAGTAGTTGACCGCATCCCAGACAGTAGGCAAATCGTACTTGAACGGATCGCCGAAATAATGACAAGTCATGTCTTGACCATTCTCGTCGGTGCAAATTACCTTTCCGCCGCTTACCTGGGACCAGTCTAACGTCTTCCAACCGCCCGGCGCTGCTTTCACCATCGATTGGGGCTTCATCCGGTGAAACGCATCGTTGCAACTGCCGGAAGGTACTCGCAGCGTCGCCAACTCATATCCAGAAAGTAGTGTCGTGATATCATCGATGTTTGGCTCGGGTCGCTTTTCCGGATTCGGATGGCACTGGTTTACGCAGTCGGACCCGGACACGCCTGAACACTCGTGCGCCAGGGCCCGCTGGTACTTCAAGGCCTCGGCCTCATACGGGTGGAGCGATGAGGACGGTAGTTGCGTCGTGGGTGGGAATTGCGTCTTGGGTGGGAATTGTGTCGTGAACAACGTAGAGCTGGTGTTCGTAGTCGTGTTGCCTGGGGTGTCCGTTGGAGAGGAACTGTTGGTTGCTATTCTCGGTGCTAACAGACTACCACCCCGAGGACCAAAACGGTATAGTAGGAACCCAGTAATCGCCAGGCCACTTGCAGTCGCAATACCCGCAATACCAAGACGTTTGGACAACCCAGGGCGTCGCCAGAAGCCTTCGGTTCTTTCGCGAACGGCCTGGCCCTCGATCTCAATGCAATTCACGAAAGGCATCGAATCCTCAATTTTCGGAAGCCACTTCGCTGGAACTTGATCCCGGACTTGTTCTTGTTCATCTGCATCTAGCGGCCTCACATCAGTGATCTCCAGCTTCTTGCTCCAGTCAACCTCGGTGTCTCCGGCATTCTCAGTCTCCAGCCATTCCATCAGCTTCCTGCCGAATGCTTTCTTCAAGGCCGCATTGGCGGCTGATGGATCCTCGTCGTGCAGATGGTTCTTCATGGCCCGGGCAAGCAAGCGCTCGATGCGAGCAGAGGCCTTCGCTTGCTGTTTGGATTCCCCGGGCGGGTGGTAGACGCGGAGCCGGTTCCAACGACTAAGCCAGTCGTAATCAGTAAGGCAGGACTCCAGCAACTCTGACGGAGGGGCCAACACCACAACTTCAGCTGCGCCCTTCCCGTCAGAGACGACGGCCATCCTCGCAATACAGCCGTCGGTAGAAGACAACTTCCCATTGGGATCGACGAACGCCGCCAGTGCTACAGACCCCGGCACATTAACCAAGGGTTGCGCAGCACTTGCCTTCATCAGAATTT